TACATATTCACTACATGTTTTCTTTTCTTTTCTATGGGAAACAGGGAATAAGTAGGAGGTTGGAATCAACATATTACAATACATTTGCAGATGAGGCAACTGAATTTTCCTTTATGGGATGTATTTTTTTCATTTTTTAAGTATGAAGAAAAATGTTATCAAAGAAAAGCATCTTTCAGTTATACAAATCATCTCTTCAAGACTTTTTTTTTAAACTGCGTACAGTTATTAAACAAGGCCTGGCAGAAAAAAAAATTGCTTCAGCATGTCAAGTAAATATTAGTGCAGGAAGGTGAACTATTCAATCCACCACATAAATAAGCTTAATGCACAGCTTACATTAAATAACCATTACACCCCGTACACAGATGCTCTTCAGTGAAGATCATGTTTATCAAGTAATTAAAGTGTATGTAGTGCAAATGTTACACAATCAAGTATTATGCACATGCTATTTGCTTGTTCTGAAGTTACACAAAGATGTGGTGCCTGAAATCATGTACATATATACACCCTTACCACACTTGGTACAATGTCCTAATCCACAGAAATATCAATGTGTTTAGATTTGTGCGTGTGTGTGTATGTATGCATAAATAAAAGGTATGTATATATATAGTTGGTGTCTTAAAATAGGACTACCATATCAATTCAGTTTGACCAACACAAAAACAAACTACTATCGATACCTGCTTCCAGATACTCCAAGGCTCAAAAAGTTTGTGCTTCATTCTTGCAGTCATTAATGCCTCTTCCGCCAGTTCAGGAAGGAAAGAGTCTCTTCAGATCTGTGCTGCACAGACGGCCAATTGAGAGGAGTAAAATGAAGACACAGATACCTAGCCATTTTCCTCCATCACTAGCTCCATGCCTCATGATGAAGGGTTGTGAGAGTTTCTCCTCTGTGCCACTCATGGATGGGAGGAATTGTATTTTGAAAAAATCATACCATGCTTTCCATATAAGTGGCAGCAAATCAAGGCACACTGTATGAGTTTTGTAGCATTTAGATTAGCTGACTTTGAAGGTGATGCTTCACTGTGAAAGATCCGATGTTCTCAACTGGCTGCAGGGCCTTGCTGGGCCATACAATGTAACAGATGCTATGTGATTATTCTGCATCACCTGCAAAAAGAGAACAAGCAAAAAAATAAAAACACCACAGGCAAAAGGGAACTTGGGAAGTTGTCAGATACAGTTGCAGTATTTCTGTGCCTGAGTAGAGAGAGAATATACACTTGAACCTCCTTAATCCAGTCATCTGAGATCTGAGAACACCTATGGTTTGGACCCCTGCATAGCTGGAGCACCAGTGCAGGGGGAGGATGAAGTGGCTCTGCACATAATCATTTCCGCTGCTCTTCCCCTCTGGCCAGAGGAATGCCTTGTCAGGAGGCTTTTACTCCACTGTTCCCATTGGCTGCGAATTCCAGACAATGGGGGGGAGGGTGCAGCCATGTGTCCTACTGGGAATGGGGCACCATGTGAGCACCCACCACCATCCTCCTTATGCACCCTCCCCTTCCTCCCAGAATCTGCACCCCCATGCCATTAACAGTTTAAATACAGTGCATTAAGGATTTATCTTATGACACACTATACATATTCAGTATTTTAGAATGGTTTATACATACAAAAGCCCTTCATTATGGCAAATATTCATGGTCCAGAAAATTCTATAATCTGCAAAGTCTATTTATCAAAATTGCCAGATTGAAGAAGTTCAAGTGTATATTAAAAATTAAGCAACTGATAAAATGGAATTAAAACACTGAAAGATCTTTGCCAGCTCTGAAAAATTACTGCTTAATTTCCAGGCTTCATTTAGTCACATTTGCTGTTTAATATGGGCACTCACCACCACCCGAAAATATTTATTGAGAACTAAACATATGTCCCAATTGCATCTGTTATGGGTGAAAAGACAGATACACCAGCCTTAAACACTAGAGATGGATTAAACCTGGGGAAAGATGGTAAATGTCCCATTTGTATTCCCAATATCAACAATTGCTCTTGAATGCTGGCTCTCATAGGCATACAGGAAAGACAAAAAGCTGCATTAAAATCCAGAAGCCAGCTCCACACCATTTTCTCTAATCCAAACAAATCTGAAACTTTTTTCCTAACCTCAAAGATCATTCGCTGCAGCCCAAAACAAAACGTTGATCCAAATGGGTTAGTATTGTTCGGAGAGGAAGACCTTAAAAAAAAAAAAGAAAAGAAAAAAGTATTATGGGTGTATAAGAGGTTAGAATTTCTCAATGTGAAACAATAGCCATCCATGATTATGTGGTAAGTTTGCCACATTTCTCTTGGGCCAAGATTATTTATATTGGGAGGCATTATATTCATCGGCATTATGCTGCTTTTGGATTTCAAATGGGTCATTCCTCGAGTGGTACAGAAATATTGGGGGAAGGAGGAGAGAAGGATGTACTGGGACAAAATAAGTGGTTATTAGTGACTGCAGAGGACAGCTTTCATTCACCCAAGGCTGGAAAGGAAAAACTAAATATAAATCATAGAATCATAGGATTGGAAGAGACCATGGGCAGTTTGTGCAGTTAAGGATGGGGGACGCAGGTCCTCATCCCCAGCCCCTAATAAGGCCCTGCCCCCACCATTGTGCCCAGTGTGCTCCCGCCCACCATAAGGAGGGGAAGAGATGGGAGGGCATGCACATGCACCTCAGCCTGCCTGGCACCCAGAGCATCAGGGAGGGAGACGCGCTGGAGGACCAGGGAGGGAGGAGGCTGCATGGATCTAGCCTTATTGGGCCTCCCACCTCCCCGGTCACTGGAGCACCAGAAAAGGAGGGGTCCACGTGGTTGCAGCCTCCCTGGCCTCCGGAGCGCCATCGAGGAAGGAGGCCGTGTGGCCCAAGCCTGCCAGAGCCCCAGAGCACTGGAAAGGGTGGGCACTGAGGGACAGCCACACTCCATCCCCAGAACGCCTACACAGGCATTCTAGGGGCAGAACTTGGGTGGGACCATGCCTTGTAGCTTGCCTCCACCCCCAGGCTACTAAACACCCACTGAAGAGACCTCAGGAGGTCATCGAGTGCCACCCCCTGTTGAAAACATTACCAACACCAAGTAAATCATCCCTAATAGGGCTTTAACAATCCAGGACTTACAATCCTATAGGGATGGAGATTCTACTCCCTCCCTAAGGGAACCCATTCCAGTGCTTCACCACCCTCCTAGTGAAACAGTTCTTCCTAACAGCCAATCTTGACCTTCCCCACTGCAACTTGAGACCATTGCTCCGTGTTCTGCCATCTGCCATTACTGTGAACAGCCTCTCTCCAGCCTCTTCAGAACCTCCCATCAGGAAGTTGAAGGCTGCTATCAAATCCCCCCCTCACTCTTCTCTTTTTCAGACTAAACAAGCCCAAATCCCTCAGTCTCTTCTTGTAAATCATGTGCTCCAGCCCCCAATTATTTTGGTTGCCCTCCGCTGGACCCTCTCCAGTGTGTCCACATCCTTACTATAGTGGGGAGCCCAGAACTGGACACAATACTCCAGATGTGGCCTCACCAGTGCCGAATAAAGGGGAATAATCACCCCTCTAGATCTGTTGGCAATGCTCCTCCGAATGCACCCTAATATGCCATTAGCTGTCTTGGCTACAAGGACACACTGTTGACTCATATCCAGCTTCTCATCCACTGTAATTCCCAGATCCTTTTCTGCTGAACTGCTGCATAGCATGTTGGTCCCCAGCCTGTAACAGTGCTTGGGATTCTTCTGTCCAAAGTGCAGGACTCCTGGTTGAACCTCATCAGATTTCTTTTGGCCAAATCCTTTAATCTGTCTAGGTCACTCTGGACCTTATCCCTGACCTCCAGCATATCTACCTCTCCCCCTAGCTTAGTGTCATCTGCGAACTTGCTGAGGGTGCAATCCAGCCCCTCATCCAGGTCATTAATAAAGATGTTGAGCAAAACTGGCCCTAAAACCGACCCTTGGGGCACACCGCTTGATACCAGCCGACAACCAGACATTGAGCCGCTGATCACTACCCATGAAGCTCAACAATCTAGCCAGCTTTCTATGCACCTTACTGTCCCCATTTATCCAATCCATACTTCCTTAACTTGCTGGCAAGAATAGCGTGGGAATACTATTGTCAAGAATACTACTGTCTAGTCAACAATGTTAGTCTGAAAGGCCAATTAATATAGTTCTCTGAAAGGAGACCCAGATTTAATTGAGGTGGGGGAGGGTCTACTAGAGGTCTGTAAACAGAGGAAGCTGGCCACTGAAAATTTTGCATTTTTTTTATTTGACTTCATATTAAATAAACATTTAAAGTCATGCACCTTGTTAATTATCTCTTGTTTAAGTATTTTTTCTTCCATATCAGTTTAAAAATATATAAAAGATATTTTAATGACTTGAGTGCCACACATCTGAACAAGCACACATGACCTCAATATTGTTGCAGAGGACAACAATTATTCCACTCACGGATGGAAAATCTTAAAGGGAACACTGGTTAGTACTGTTTTCCGGGTTGGTTTTCTGTCAGATATAGTCTATTAGTAAGTTCTGACTTCTTCTGCAATTGGTGAATTTCCTTAACTGAATGTGACATATACAGTAATTCCTCATTTAACACGATAAATGCGTTTCTGAAAATGTTCGTGCTAAGTCAAAACGTACTATGCAGGGTCAATTTTCCCATTAAAAATAATGGAAAAGGTGAGGGCTGCGTTTCTGGTGGTGGTGGTGAAGTCAATTTTTTGTTGGTGCTGGGTCATCAACGTCAACATTAGATAGCTAGCAACACAAGTTACTGCAGTTTGTTAAAAAACAAAGATACACACACGTACGTGAGCGGAGAGCTTTGACCACGTGTATTCATCCACTCATGCACATTACCACTGTTTTTACCAACTTATATCACCGTGTGAAGTAGTCTGCCACTTAATTATTTTCATGTTATTTTGGGGACAGTTGTATTATTCGAAAAACGTTCTCTAAAAAAATTGTGCTATTGCGAAAATGTGTTAAGTGGGCACGTGTTAAATGAGTAATTACTGTACCTTCAAAATTAAGCATGGTTGAACCACTGTAAACAATCCACATTACAAATGAAAGAGCTTGATTCAATAGAGCATTACTTTAGTTTTAATCGTGGTGTGGCTCTAGTGATTTTACACAAATAAACTGGAATAATGCGGTGAAGAATCAAGCCAACAATATTTTAATAGTAACTAATATAAGATGGGTGAAAACAAGGCCAAAGTTAAGCATTTCTGAAATTTATGAAAGATTTTCATCATGTTCATCGGGGCTCGCTGAACTGCGGAGAGCCCCGCTCGCCAACCGCACTGTCCGGCGATCTGCGCATGCGCAGATCACATGAACCCGGCTCTTCTGGGTTGCAATCTAATGCATTGTCATACTCGACTGCATTATTTGTCAAGCCCTGACTATCAGACTCATATTGCTCTCACTCTTGTACTTGACAAAATTACTCACATTTTGTAAATGATTTCAGGGCTAGAAATCATAGCGCTCGCCAACCGCACTGTCCGGCGATCTGCGCATGCGCAGATCACATGAACCCGGCTCTTCTGGGTTGCAATCTAATGCATTGTCATACTCGACTGCATTATTTGTCAAGCCCTGACTATCAGACTCATATTGCTCTCACTCTTGTACTTGACAAAATTACTCACATTTTGTAAATGATTTCAGGGCTAGAAATCATAGCCTCACATAGCCATGCTGACTAGTGGCCTGTCTTTTACCCACAGAAGTGGCACAATACAACCAAAAGCAGTGCAGATTTCATACTGCTCCAAATTTGCCTGGAGGAGCTACCTCCAGAAAGGGAGAGAAAGGAAGCTTTGACTTCAAGTCCACTCAGTCCTTTGATAACAGCATGCTAACAAGGGTTTTAATTATATGACAATTTGCATTGTTGACACTTGCCCATTGGAACTGGACTCAGATCACTCATGTATCACATAGGCCATCACATCACCATCAGATGGTAATGTATCCTACATTGATCTGAACCAGTGACCTGTGATGAAAGGTTCCATATTCCATTATTAATTCTCAGGTCAGCCCAATCTCCCAAAACTCATTTTACACTGGAAAGACAGGACTGTAACTGAATTAATTAAATGAAATGGGGAAAGTGCCTACAAAAAGAGTAGGTTCCTTAATTTAAAAAGACAACCCCAAATATTTCAATAAATATGTGAAGTCTTTCTGCCTTTTACTGAAATGCGTATACACTTGAACCTCTTTAATCCAGCTATCCTAGGAAACTGGGTATACCTGATTAAAGATTTTGCCAGGCCAGGGTGGGTGCTGCAGGATCTGGGCATGAGGGGATGGGCATGGGTGCTTACCTGGTGCCCTACTCCTGGAGGCGCAAATAGCTCCAAGACCCTGCTGCTCATAGGCACCGCAACCCCGCTGATCCCACTGTGGTGGGAAAAGGCGCAGGGAAAGCGCGTTGCTGTGCTGCCGTTTTCCCAGCTGGCCCTGACGGAAAAAAGGCTCCCATCTCGATGTGGATTTACAATTGAAGGCATGCATGCGTGCTAAATTGCAAGCTTCAGCAAGCTAAATCTGCAAGCCTTGCAGAATAGGTTGCTGCTCTTAACGTTATTTGGGCACACCCACAACACAAACCCATAATTACACCCCCACTTAGGTTCTATAGATACATTCTCCTTTGTGTAATGGAGGATGGATTTTGGCAGATAAAAGAATTGCTGGAATTCCATTGTTGCATATCCCCAAATGATAACAAACTTCCCTACCCAGAGGAAGCAGAACTGATGCTTCAGCAGCGAAGAGATGGCATAAACTCTGATAATTACGACCAGACCTATCCTGGTGGTAATCACCTTGTAGGAGAAAGAAAGAGCCTAAAGCATAGGCCTGGTGTAAGGTCTGAGGCGTGAACCAAAGTAAGCAAGAGTTATACTATGAGTAACATGAACTTGGTACTAGAACTGCTAGCACTGCTAAAAGCACATGAAATATGTAAATACATCCCATCAAGAGTACAAGGACACTCCAACGTAGCACATGATAAAAATAGTTTAAATAGTGATATTATGTCTGAAACAACAGGAGTGAAAGCATAACAACAAATGGTGAATAGGAATGCTTTGGAGGAAAGTACTAGGGGAGGTACATTTTTGTCTATAAATGTAGGGGTAACTCAACTTAACTTTGTACCTATGACAATGAACCCATACCGTTGTCATAAGTACAAATACATAGAGGCTCAGGGGCTGTCTGGCTACTGACAATTATTAATGTACTATGGCAACCTGAGAGCAGGCAGCTGCCAAGGCCTCATGGAGGGCAGATATGCAGGGAGCTGGGTAGGTGGTTTTATGTTCCCGGAGTAGGCTGTTAAAGACTGTGGCCCAGCTGAAGCCTGTCTGTCATCAGCCTGAAGAGAAAGGCTAATTGGAACACCCGCAGCCACTTAAGATGGATGCTCGCACTATAAAAACACTCCCTCGGGCAAGGCTAAGCGGGAAGGAGAAAAGAGATGGACTAGAGGAGAAGTGAGCAGCCCAGCGCAAGAGAACACACTTGAAACAGCTGACATCAAGGTTTGCTCCACAGCATCAGGGAGGAGGTACCGCAGGAAGGGTTGGGGAAGTGGCCCAGGGAGGGGCTGCTGCTCAGGGGGCAAGAGACAAGCTACACAGCCTGCTCGGGGTTGCCCCCACCCATAGGGCCCTGGGCCGGAACCCGGAGCAAGTGGGTGGGACCGGGTTCTCCCCAACCCTCCCCTCCAGCTGGAAGGGCCAGTAGGGTGTGGAAATAAGAGCACACTGGACTGGCCAATAATGAAAAAGGCTCTGGTAGTGGGGTACTCTCACTTTTGTGGCAGCATTAGGGACATCGTGAGCCTCTGAGGCACACAAAGACCTGCCAGGAAGCACAGGACCCACAGGGCTTAGCCCAGACTTTGCCACAGTACTTAATGTTAAGTATCAATGTAATGTTTGACAATAAACCTAACTCAGGTGCCTTCGTATCTTATCTGAGTCTGTGGTCTTTGGGGGCTCTCTTGAGCTATTATGCAAGCTATCTGTGCAGAAATGGCATGATATACTAAGGGAGAATTCAAAAATGCACACAATCAAACATTTATCATTAGTGACGGAGAAGATGACCTGTCAGGACGCCACACCATTGAATCCTGAATTTACTATGCTGTAATTTACTATACTGATCCACTACACATCTGTTATCAGCTCATTTCCTGCCAGGAATAAAAAGACAGACACAATCTTTACCTGTGAAGTACCACTGGCTTTTCCACAGGATGTCCCAGAAGATCCTGAATACTGTCCCACTGTAATTAATCACATTAAAAGGGTGTCAGAATAAAAAAGTCACATGAAAGGTTCTCTTTATACACAGGAGGTTCATGTGCATTTTGGTTGTAGTGCTGGTGCAAACCACAAGGCAGCACAGAATGCCATGAACTATGAAGATTATGTTTAGAGAGTGTTTTGTGACTGAAGCGGCTGTGGCTAGACTTCATCCCTTTTCCGTAAAAGGGATGCAAATTAGACACATCGCAATTGCAAATGAAGCGGGGATTTAAATCCCCCCTGCTTCATTTGCATAAACATGGCTGCCGCTTTTTTCCAGCTCGGAGCTTTGCCGGAAAAAAGCGCCAGTCTAGACGCGGATCTTTCGGAAAATAAAGCCTTTTCCGAAAGATCCCTTATTCCTCTTAAAATAAGGAATAAGGGATCTTTCGGAAAAGGCTTTATTTTCCGAAAGATCCGCGTCTAGACTGGCGCTTTTTTCCGGCAAAGCTCCGAGCTGGAAAAAAGCGGCAGCCATGTTTATGCAAATGAAGCAGGGGGGATTTAAATCCCCGCTTCATTTGCAATTGCGATGTGTCTAATTTGCATCCCTTTTACGGAAAAGGGATGAAGTCTAGCCACAGCCGCTTCAGTCACAAAACACTCTCTAAACATAATCTTCATAGTTCATGGCATTCTGTGCTGCCTTGTGGTTTGCACCAGCACTACAACCAAAATGCACATGACCAGCTTTACTCATAAAAACCTGCAACTAGGAGACTGCTTCAAATTTAAAACTAGTTTCCATTTTAGATGGCAAGTTGAATTTAATTGAAGAAAATAATGAAATACTATTTTGATCACTATGGATTTCATGGCAGAAATACAAAGTGCTGTGTCCAATATTTTAAGGAACTCTTTCAAAGAATAAGGCATCTGAAATTTCCCACAAGAAGGCACTCTCTTGAAACTTTGCTGAGATCAAGTTAGCATCACTGTCTATCCTTACTCACAAAACCATTGGTTGGCTCAGCATGCAAGATTTGACTGCACTATATTTCTGACTGTGTTAAGAATAAAAAGCTTGAATGACAATTTCACTGAAAAAAATCCAAATCTGTTAAAAATTGAAATTAAATTTTGATGGAAGAGTAATTTGAATTCTCTTATTTTAAAAGCCATGTTTCTCTACTGTTGTTAATTCTGTGCATCATCTACCAACAATTTCGCTGGACTGGTTACATGGTCCAGATGCCTGATCAACGCCTCCCAAAACAGATTCTGGGAGGAGTGTTAGGGGCCAGAGGAAGCAATTTAAGGACATGTTGAAGGCAAACATGAAAAAGTGTGGCATTAGTGTTGACATTTGGGAGAACATTGCCCAGGACTGTCCCTAGTGGAGAATGGTACTCCACAATCTGAAAGGTGACGCCGCAGCGCAGACAAGGAGAGGAGAAGGAAAAAAGAGCAACAAAAAACTGCTCCCCTCCAAAAGCCACCAACATGTGCCCCTTTTGCGATAAGACCTGCAGCTCCAGAATTGGGCTGGTCAGCCATCAACAGATCCACAAATAGGAGGGTGACAGGAAGATGTCCTACTCATTATTGAGTGACCGCCAAAAGAAAGACATTAATTCTGTGACACGTGGTAAGAGTTCCACATACTCAGCAGCCAAGCTATTTATTTTGGCAACTGTCCTTGTTGGTTTTATGAAGACTCACCTTGCTGTACGTTGTGCATGTTTCAGTCAGTGAATCCGCACTATCTGTGGAAGGTAAACAGAAAAGGCTCTTAAAACAACACAATATAAAAAAACCAAAAAAAAGCCCACTGACTAAACATAAATCCATCAGATTAAACAATAGCACTGGAGACGTAGATTTGCCTATTCGCTATTTTAAAAAGTAAGTCTTAAAGCTTAAATGGCTTCTAAGAGAAAGGAAATATAGATGCAAGAAAAACAAAACACTACTTATTTCTCTGAACCTTGGATTGACTGTACAGCATCAGGTAACATGCATAGCAGTAGCAACTCTTGTGGATAAGCTACTTTGCAGCCAGGCGTGGCTGTAAAAAAGTAGTGGTCGCCGCTATGGTTATCCATGTCTCCACAGATATCTGGAGACTGCAGCTCTTGTTGGCTACTAATCTCCATTAATGGCCGGTGGGAATGGTGGGAAGCAGCATGGACTGCGATACTGCTTCCCGCTGCTCCCATTGGCCGTGAACGGCAATCCACAGGCAGTTGCAATCACCCGATATTTGCCACCAGGATGGGCAGATCTCAAACCCTAAAACTCCCGACGCAACCTCCCTACCTTCAGGGGCCCTCTTATCCTTTCTACATTCCAATGGCGCAGATAAACATAGAGGTGAGGATTAATCCTGGTGAACCAGACCTGGCCTGCAGGACGGTATTTACCCACCCCTAGATTAAGCACTGTGTACATTTAAGAAGCCAAGTTTGACAAACCCTCAGATTTGACCCAATTAGTCCCAAATCAATATGGTTTTAAGTTCTCCCTCTTTCCCTTTATCCCAACTCAGATTCTTGCTGCTGCGACTTCCATCAAAGCACCATGTGTTATTCAGACGAATGCTCTCCATGTTGTCAAAAGGTACAATGACAAAGGGATCTCTGGCAGCAATTTAGCAAGCATCCTACATCTTTTCTAGGATATTAAAGCCTCGGTTAAAAAAAGTACATACACGCATGCTTAACTGTTATGCAGGAGGTAGACAAGACTATCATAAAGGAAATTTTGGCCTTAAAACTTATGTCTCTTTAAACATGCAAGTATCCCCACATTTTAAAGAGATTAATCACATGCTTGAAAGTTAGGCACACATTTAAAGACCTTGCTGAACCAGGGCCTATAGGCAACAAGAAACTTAGGGTGCAAAGTCCTAAAATCTCTCCTGAGCCCTGAGATTTCAGATGATAGTTATATCAAGACATATGCCACATATTGTAGGGTCATAGTTATTCTTATAACAAATTCAAATTTAAATTAAATATAAACAAACAGGCCTTATGAGTTGTGACGGGAAAGGAGTTTTATGAGTGACTGTCAAGATAACACTTAAATTCAACAACAGAGGTAGATTGGAATGACCAGATCAGATTCACATTGCCTTACAACTTTTGGACCTTAACGGACAACATTATTTATGTTAACAAAAGCATGCAGCAGCAATCCTCTAGAAAAGTAGCAATGCCGTATATTAGTTACGCCACTGAAGGCCTACTCAGGATCAAAAAGTTAGCTTAAAATGAAGCTGGAGTGGCTAGAGAACTTAAATCTTTAAATACTTTCCTTACTACACATATTATAGAACTGTTCAAAGATCTCTCTTCCCTACTACTGTCAGCACTTCTAATATCTTCTGTTGTTCAAGGCTTTCTTTTACAAACCCATGGAGCAGGACAATGGATTACTGACCTCGCTTAATGGCTAATGGAATCTTGAAATCACAACGATGGTATCTAGAACATTGAAATTTGAAAACTGTTACAAAACACAGGAAACAACAGAAACTAAGTAGCACAGATTGACCAAGAAATGCTTTTAGTGAGCAGTTTACTTTGACTACCAGCACACCAACACCATCCCATAGTTAAGACATGGTGTGCAAATAGTTGTACACAAAACATTACTGCACTGTAACAGTCCCATGTGGATGAGGTAGGCATGAACTTAAAAAGTCCAAAGTTTGCACTGCTGTAGTCAAGATAACTACAAAAATTAGAAGTCTGAGAAATAAACTCAAACCACTAACTGAACCAGCTATCTCAGCAAAAGCCTACCCACAGCTGAAATTGTAAAAAATTCCTTTTGCTACTACAGCTTATTTCATTCAGCTAGATGGTATGAGCTCTACTGGCAAAATAATTCTGTTGATATAAATCATGTGTTCTCAGGAGGGCTAGACAAAGCTTATGAAATCATATACTGATATGGAAAATATGAAGTCAGAGGCTTTTATCAGATGGGGAAAATAAACAATCGGAAGTTTTAAGAAACAGTTTGCAAATCATTCTCTTTTGTAATGCACAGGGAGGAAATGAAAAATTCTAGTAAAAAACTGCAAAACAAAACATCAATTTATACATTTTTGCCCGTAGTCATCACCAGTTCTTCAAAGTAGGAAAAAATGGGAATACTTTTGGAAGAATACCATGTTTCTGGTTAGATTATGTGACCTTACAGTTCTCAGTCCTTACATGAACAGCCACTAAAATATCTACAGGTTCTTTATAGACTGTTGCAACATACACTACATTCCAGTATATTTGCTTTTATAGTTAACAGCTAGAACTTCCCAAATGCGGTTTCGTTTCTACTTGTCAAATATACAAATTCCACCTTGTACAAGCACTGCTTATAATGAGTGAACTAATAACTAACTATTTGGAATTAAGTTTAAAAATGTGCTAATGTTCACGATTATCCTAAGAATTATGCACACTTTATCTGTGCTGTGATGATTTTTTTGAAACTTTATGTGGAATGTGATTTAGAAGTAGTGCTTGCTGTCCTCTTTCTAATGTACACTTATTAATGCACAAGCATGAGATAATTAAGACAGCTTAAAAGTTTCGTACAAGTTGCCACATGAATCAAACCTGCTCAACAGAAACTACAGGAACTACAGAAGGTTGACAAAGGATTTACTACGGACAGATTTTGCATTTTCACAAACTACTATACTCACATGTTAAAGTTGTAATGACCAGGATAATTAGTATGCAGGACAAATTTCTTCACCTTGTGAGTATTTGCATCAAAAAGAATATCCTGTTGAAAACAAAGGAGACAGACATGAGCAAACAGTTTGATGAGAGAATGTCGTTTTTTTCTCAATATGCAGTAAGGAGTGTCTAGCTATATATTAACAGTAAAAAAACAAAATAAAAAAGCCTTTACAACATAAGAGTGACATTTTCAACTATAATTATATGGCTAGAGTGATGCTGTAATTGCTAATGCTAGCAGCCTGTCTGAACAAGTCTATTTTATCTGCCTATTCTAGTTCACTTTACACTGAAGCAAGATGGAAAGCCAACATTCTTATGACACAAATTACATAAGGTACTAAACTGCAGATGAACGTAAGAGGAAAAAATTGTTGCCATCTCCTCAGAAATCAACTACAACAAAAAGTGAGGCACAGGAATGGAAAAATAGTATCTGGTCAGTGTAGGTAAGGTTAGATTTCAGAAACAAGGGCCTCAGTTCTTACATGGGGGTAGGCAATAATTTTTGATGGGGGGGGCACCACTCCTAGAATTTGGAAAGTGATTGAGGGCCACACTCTTCCATGCTATTAATGGAGGAAGTATAGGGATAGAATAGCAAATAACCCATTGATATGTAGGTAAGATTCCGAGCCACGATCTCTGGTTAAGCTTTTCCACATAGGCCCACACTGCGCAGCCTGGGCAGAGGCAAAAGGCCTAGCCAACAGACAATGGGCCCTAGGAAAAATACAGAAAAACAGCCTCGCCCATGTATCACAAATGGAAGGAGCCAAAGTAGCATAACATTAGGTGGGAAGCCATAACTGAACACCCTTATCATGAGTTTCACACACACAAAGAATGCCAAAGCCCTGAAAGGGGGCCTCATAGTCTGCCATCCTGTATGGGAAAGAAAAACAGTTGCCTTCCAAAGGCCAAGCACAGATTTAGGGAAAGGCCTAGCATGTCACTATGAGACGACGCCCTCCCTCCCTAACAATCCAGGCTCCCAGATACACCAGAATGATGCTATAACAACTGCTTTGCTGTATACCTGATACTGTCTTTTTGCTTTATATCCCTAGATAACACCTATGAACCATACCCTGCACTTGTCAGGAAAGCCCTGTCACCACTCCTATGGATTCCAAATGGAAGGTAGCATATGCATTGCAAGGCAATGCTTGGGAGAAGGGGGGGAAGGAATACTTGTGTTTTAGCAAATGTGTAAACCTGAGCTATGGGTGGAGCTACTATGTAATCTCTAAGGGTATGTCTACACTACAAAGTTAATTCGAACTAACAAACGTTAGTTCAAATTATCTTTGATAGGCGCTACAGAGGCAAACCGCTAGTTCGAACTTAATTCGAACTAGCGGGTGCTTAATTCGAACTAGGTAAACCTCATTCTACGAGGACTAACGCCTAGTTCAAATTAAGTAGTTCGAATTAAGAGCTGTGTAGCCACTTAATTCGAACTAGTGGGAGGCTAGCCCTCCCCAGCTTTCCCTGGTGGCCACTCTGGGCACCACCAGGGAAACTCTTCTGCCCCCCTCCCGGCCCCAGAGCCCTTAAAGGGGCATGGTCTGGCTACAGTGCCCGTGCCAGTTGCAAGCCTGCCAGCACCCAGCCACCAGACCCTGCATTTGGCACGGGATGAGCCAGCCACCCGCTGCCACCCAGCCCTCTGCCTCTTTCCAGGACCAGGCTGGCGGCTCCCAGAGCCTGCCCGGGGCTACAAGAGGCGGGCGCCCGCCTGGTCTAGTGTAGAGATCATGGACCTCATCCATAACCTCCGCACTAGGCACAGGCAAGTGGCCGTCTCGGGCCGGAGAGCTG